TGGTAGATGGCTTCATCCACCCCTCATGGGGATGGCTATATATTCCCAAGGGTACAAATACTCTGTTTTGGAAATTGCAGGTGACACTCCTCAGGTAGATGTTTCTGAAGCAGATCAGGGGGACATAAATGCCTACCTGACCCTCTACTCTTCCCCAATTCTTCTCTGCAAAATCCTTGCCTTAGTAAGGCCCCAAAACATTGTTAGCACTTATTTTTTCCAGGAGAAATAGTTCTCATAGCGCTTGACAGAACAATTAACACCTAAGGAAACAAGTTATAAAGCTAGCTTCTGACTTTGCACATACAAAAAGACTACTTTCCATACTGGAATAGTTCCAACTGTAATCTGATGCTTTGTTTAATCCAATTTAAAACTGTAATTAAAAATTGTAGCCATGCAGTGTCTCAAATATGCCTCCAAGTTTTCCAAAGTCTTTAGATCCAATCATGAAGACCAGGAGAAAGCTGCACTGAACTTTTTCTCTCTATGAATACATACAGAGAAATGCAGACATGAGCTGAGGCTCAAATGGTCACCCTAGGTTTCCTCATGGTCACCCTAACCTACTCAATGACAGGTATAACCTCGATAGGTTTTCTCCCTTTCTCCTCCCTCTCCTGGCCCCATACCCTGTTTCCAGCGACAGAGACTAGACTCTGGGGTAATTCATTTGTTAAATTCTTTCTAGGCATTTTACATAAGCCTCCTGTCCTTTTTTTTTTGACAGATTGGCAAGAATGACTTTGGTTTTGAAGAGATTAATGACTACATCCCAAAACACAAATAACAGAAGCTTCAGCCCAGAAAGTAATTTCCCCTAAACTTCTAAAGAAAATCGACAACACGGTCATTTCCAAGTTGGCGCAATTGATGGACCTGTGAATTCAGGGGGACATCTAAACTCACAATAAGAAAACAAAAACATACAAGTGAACAGTTCATATTTTCTCCTTCATCGTCGGATCTAAAAGTTCAGCCTGGCACCAACACAAAGAAGGAATGATTCCATCAGCAGCCTAACAGATGGCAGGCACAAAATGGTTGTAACCTTCTCCGAGAAGGCTGGCGAATAGCTCCGTGAAGTTTAATTTACCAGGATGGGGGCTGCTGTTTTCTGCCCAGCACCTCCTGCAGAGCAGGCTGGGCCACAGCTTGGAGAACTGCCTCCTAGGGTCCAGCAGTGCAAGCTCACAGGTTAACCCTTCGTGACGAGCAAGGATCTTGAGTTACTACAGCAGCCTTCTTCTGCATTGGATTCTGTTCCAACAAATGCAACTCAAACTTTTGATCATAACAAAGCCAAGTGCGCATGGTAGAGTATTTTGGGGATCGTTTTTCTTCCACTAGTATTTAAGAGACACGGGAGCACTTTTTTCTTGGAAAGTAAATTACATTTTTTGGAAGGCCTAGAGGGAAAATTCACCAGAAAGAGTAGGGCAAGGGGGAGGTCTCATATTGCCAACTCCCTCCTCCAGCTAGCTACGTAAGGGTTCCCACTTAGGGAAAAACAGACATTATTTCTGAAGGTGGTAGGAATTTCCACCCATGGCTTCCGGATCAGCTAGGGAGTTTTACACAATCCTGATGCCAGGGCCACCACCTAGAATCTCTGGGGCTGGGACAAAAGCATCAGTGTGTTTTAAAGCTACCCAAGGGGTTACGATCGGCCAACAAGGTATGCAAGAAATACTGCATTTAAAATTTTAAATATTGCTATTTGTACATTTCTAGAAATTGTTACAGTAAGTTAATATAATTTCTATTCCTAGCTCCCATCACACTGGGCTTGTCATTGTTAGGATTCCACCTCTCTACCCGCCCCAATCTCTCCAATGCTTGTGTGAAGGTTCTCTGGAGTTCACAGGATTAATCCACACTAGTTAGCATGCCCCACCCAGACATCAGGGAACTACTACCCTGCAGCCGTGAATCCAGGAATCCCCTTGGAACAAGCTGTGATAGAACAGTCTGAAAGTAGAAGGTGTTTATGCCTGAATACCCCATACCCGGCAAGCACTATGCAGTGGGATATACTATGTGGCTCAGATGAGGAGGTGGTCTCATGCACGGCAGCTCCACTCTTCTACCTATAAGGACTGCCCTAGAGAGAACTGGTTACCTTCCAAAAGGTACGATGTGTGCCTCTAACTCAGGCAGGACCATCCACAATGGTGCAATCTGCCAGTGAGGCTTCAGGGCCACCACGCTATATATTTATGTGTTTGATCTCTTCGCTGCATGTCCTGGGCTGATTTTTTCCGGCATCCCTTAAATGAGCAAATATTGTTCGATTTATTCAGGAGGTCCGTGCATTGGGTCTTACCATCAACTGGTGCCCACCCCTGCCATCTGTCTGTAGAACGTCAGTGCAGGCCTCCTAGAAACCCCTGGATCAAGTCCAAACAGAAGATAAAGGCTGCCTTTTTCCTGAACACAGTAGGTGCTCCAAAAATGTTGGCTGAACCAAGGATTCTACCCCTAAAGGTACTCAACTCTAATAAAAGAAAAGCATCGACAGAACTGGGGCAGAGCATTTTGGAAACCAGGCAGAGAAAGCCACTCAAATTCATCCAAGTGAAAAGCAGGCCAGTGAAAGGATCTCATGAAGTCTCATGGAAACACAGTACAGAAAACAGAGCTGAGCCCCACAACTCAAAAAGCAGTGGCCACGTCTCCCTCTCTCTCTGGGGGTCATTTGACTTCCCGCTGCTGCCTGTCTGTGTGGTGCTTCGTTTCTTCTCTCTCGGCCCATCCTGGACCTTTCCCCATGAGCACATGGCCCCCTCAGATCACCCAGTAAAAGGAGCCTCTGCTTATTTCTGGGAGAAAGTTTACTGGCTTATCTCGGGGCTCACCTGGGAGAAAGTTCACTGGCTCACCATATGGTCAGTGTAACACCCGCATCTGGAACTGTTGTGAAGGGCGAGGATCATCACAACCAACGACAAACACAAGCTCTGCTGGGTGACGTGATACCCCCAGAAACTAACGATCATGCAGTATCAGTTTTAACACCCTTATTTCAGAATGTCCACAGGACTGAATTTCAGAGCTATCCAACTAACGGACAGCTCCAAATCACAGTAACACTGAATCAAAAAGACTTTTATCCTGCACAAAAACGTGCCCTGAGAAATGTTCGTTTGAATTTAATTTACTTACGTTTCACATTATGCAACTGTACATATAAAACCATGAACACAGTTCGGGAAGACACTGGCTTCTAGACCAAAAGACGTCATTTGTAGCAACATCTCACCGACCTTGAGGTCAAAGGTTTGACAAGTGTACTTGGGCAATCAGGAAGTTATAGGAAAATAGCAAAAATACCGTCACCAGGTCAATGCAGCAACGTTCGTTCATTTTACTGTTCTCAGGAAAGCCCCTCAAAGCCTGTTTAGTGTTACTTGAGATGTACAGTTTGCAGGGACATGAGTTCCCAACTCCAGACAGAACGGAAGGAAGTTTCCTAACTGAAGTTTCCAGACTAAAGGAACCGCTAGAGCTCGACGGGCAGAGCCGTCCGGTGGAGGGGCTTTAACAAACTCAAAGAGGGTCTGAAACAATGAAAAACATAAAGGATGACCTTAAAATTTTTTCATTATTTTTTAGTAGATTGTTCACAAAAGCAGGGAAATGTATACTGAGAGTTACAATGTCAATGATTCAAATAAAGCAAAGAAGAGGTTTAACTTCAAAAACAGCCTTGACTGGTCTGCACTGTGTACCCTCCAATGTCTGACAAATGGGATATCATTACCACACATATACTGCTTATAAAATACACAAAGCGATTTATATAAAAAGAATACAGCACCTTTTTTTATCCACATATGATTGAAACCATAAAAGCCCCTTCGTGGTAAAAGCACCACCATCACGTATGGATAGCCTCAGTCAGCTTACCTCTGCATTAAGAACTTTATATTGTGTCCTGAGCGGTCAATTCTATCGATCAGTGGACCCAAATGACTGCCTTTTTACATGCTAGGAGACACAGAGGGCAACACCACAGCCCCTGAAATCAATGTTTCTCAAAACAAGGTCTGTGGAACAGCACGACTGAATCTCCTGGTGAATTCGCTTTACAACATAGATCCCCCAGACCCCGATGAAATTTCATGAATCACAATTTCCAGGGGACGGCCCGGGAACCTACAGTTGAGCACTCCTCCCCGAGAATTTCTGGTACAAGAAGAAGTGTGGGAATCACTCTACAAAATCACTGCCTTGAAGAGTAGGCTCAGGGGCACTGGGGTGGCTCAGTCAGTTAAGAGTCTGGCTCCAGGCAATTAGGGCAAAATTCAGCCTTCACTCTCTCTAGTTCTAACAAAAATTCTTGCTACAAAGATCCTTTCCTACTTCAGAAGTGTTGAAAAAGAAATCAGATAATGTCTGAAGATCACCGAGAATTCACTAGAGCGTTCTCATCCCTAGTGGTCTACTGGAACCACCCAGGGAGCTTTAAAAGATAGAGAGGCTGGTTCCACTGAACAGTCTACCCACCCCCCACAGAGATTCTGCTGTATTGCTCTGGGGCATAACGGGGGTGGGGGGGTGGGGGTAAAGCTCCCCAGGTGGTTCTAATGAACACCCAAGGCTGAGAACTCCTGCCTTCATGCAGTTGTTGAGTACGAAGCATTAAGTTCATTCCAATGTCAACCTCCAAATACGGACTTCTAACCTCTCACCTTTGTGATAATTTATATCACCTTTTGTGTTTTGAAATGGGCTATTATTCCAAAAGCCTACCAAAATGCCATTTACAAACTGGAAAAGGAAGTCAAAGTGTGTTCTGGTTCCTACCACTCCTTGTCCCTGCAACACACCTGAAGAATGAAAAAAATGAGGAGAATTATCCTAAGGGACAAAACTCAAGCAGCACAAACAGCTCACACACATTAAGAAGAAACTCACACTGGCAGGCTTATATGAAATAATTTTTAAAAGTGCTTTGAAATTCATCACTGCACTAAGTGAAAAATTTTCAAATAGTTAAAAAAAAAAAAGAACAATTTCCCCTGGTCTTTCCAGTAATGGCCCAATTTTTATCTTAAGCAGATAAATTCCAAATTATTGCCTCTCTTCAAGTGTTCTGTTAGGTAGTGTGCATTTATATTTTGGTTTCCAACCACGGGAAATGCAAACTACCATCACCTAATTTTCAAACAGTGATACTACCTTACAATACATCGGAAAAGCACATTTTCAAAATGGTTTCACTAATAACAACTTCTGTTTACAAGACTTCTAGGCAAGAGACAGCATGCTGCACTCGATAAACGTGACCTCAGATCGGTCCCACAATCACATGAAGTTAATCCTGTAACCCGTTGTACAATTAAAAAGAGTGAGCTTCAGAAAGATTGGAAATTATGTACATGATCGATCACTGAGCTAGTGGGTGGCAACATTTGCACTCAAATCCAGGTCTCTCAGATTCCCACACCTGGGCTCTTCACACTGAACTATCCCCCCTGTCCTTCCGTGCTTAACCATCACGAGACAGAGACATCTGCGCCCAGTTCTCCCGACTTGCCAGTGAAACACAGAGAGGCTAACAAGCTGCTCCACCCCTCACAATGCCAAAGCTACACCCTGCCTCCCCGCTCTCCGTGCCACGTTCTTCCAGAAGACCAAATCACACAGCTGATATGTTACATTACAGAAGCTATACTGATGGCCCTTAGGTAGTACTTATGGATAGAACATTAGTCTGAATATGGCTTAGCTTGAACACAGGCCTGGTACATTCTTTTCTGTTGTAGGCCACCTAAGCATCAGGTATCAGCTTCAACTCCTTTATCTGTCTCAAAACCTTCTCATGCATCCTATGAGCAATGATGCTGATAAATGTGGGCAAAAGTGCCACTCGCCAGGCCTCTGGCCTGTCCTTGGTGTCCCTGACACCGTCACTGGGCAATCAGCAGGACATCCTGAAGAAGGGCAGACGTCACCTTCTATGGGTTTTTTTCCTTTATTTGTAAATCATAAAGACACTGTGCCATAAAAATCCACCTAGAAGGTCTCCAGTCCAAGAGCTTCACACCCTGGCAGGAAGGTCTCCTCTTCTTTAAGCTGCTGACACTGTTTCCTTAAGCCTGTTTTTGGAAAACTGCGTCAGTGATGGGTTCTGGCCAAGAAGTGATTCTCGAGCAAAGGTAGCACTACACAGGTCCCCTGCAAGAGAAAAACGGGTGTTATCACCTAATAAACATGTCTCGCCAATCAATACTTACTTGCCTCTTTTCTGAAGCAACTCTTAAAATAAGTCACTTGAATGCTATCACTATGGATAATTCTTGAAGAAACTGCATTTCTGCCTCCTAAAGATCTTCGAACAAAGCTAGCACCTTATTTTGTTAAGTCCTGTGACCAAAGGAGCTGGTTCAAAGGGAGTTAAGACAGAGCTAAAACTGAAGACTTAATCATTCCAGTGTGAAAGAACTCTGCCGTGTTGTCAACCCTCAGCAAGCCCAGTCTCCTGGCTACCGGTGGCAAGAACAAACACACGTCAGGGCTCTCTGTTTTATTCAGAAATGACAGGAAATCAAAACTCTATCAAACGGACATGTCAGCAACAGCACCACAAGCATACTGGTTAGTGAGACTTGTGCACCTCCATTTTGGCTCATGACAAAACCACCTTCTAATAAGCTTTCTAATTTTCAAATGCCCACGAAGATACAAGGCCAGAGAGTTCTGGGGAAGATCTTGAGGACTGGGCACCATATACAAGGTGGTCACAGTCTATATGAGTTTAAATTACACAAATCTGAAATGTGGTATGATATTTAAAAAGGAAATAATGCCTTCTTATGCACATTCATCCAAATCCCACAGAATGGTTTTCTTTTCTTTCTTTTTTTTTTTTTTTAAATTAAGAACTACAAAATTCCCAAACTGGCAAACTGAGTCCACTGTACACAGCACCTAGACCCCAGCCACATGGCTGGGCTGCTTTATCCGATTAACAAAATGCCTACTTTTCTACTCCCTTAGGCACATGCACTGGAACTTCACAAGCAATGGTAATATGACTGTTGCTATTTTAACTTCACTGTTGTGACAATTTCAATGCTTTCTTAGGCCTCAAAATAAAATCATCCTAGTGGTGAGGTTAGAGCTAATACAGAGAAAATAAACTATCACAGTATTAACTCTGAAATACTGGTAAGATATGGTCAAATACTATATTAAAAAGGCTAACCAAACACACAAGGCTCCTTGATCATAACTTAGGAAGGGGCATGCTCAAACGTAGGGGACAGTAAAGCTTTTCCGTAAAGGACCATACAGAAACTATTTTAAACCTTGTGGGAGGGGAGTTCTCTGTCACAGCTATTTACTCCAGTGTTGTAGCCATAACGAAGCCAGTGACATAGCTGTGTTCCAATAAAACTTTATTTACAAAAGCAGATAGCAGGTTGGATTTGGCCTGAGGGCAAAAACTGACTGACCCTTCCTCTACAGCCTTAGACCTGCTGGCTAGCCCCCTCCTTTAAAGGTGACATTTAATTGCTCATAAAAACAACCACTCTTCCATTTTCCACAGAGCCAATTTTGAGAAAAGACGTTCCATTAAAACAGGCATATTTCAAGCTTGCAAAAACTATGTAATAATAGCCAAGAAAAAAAAGGGAAGCAATGAGCTGGCAAAAACACGGCAGCAACAACAAAGCTGTAAAATGTTCTATATCATCTTTGGTACCATGCTTACGTAACTATGTATTTGTCAAAACTCACCAAACCGTACACTTAAAAATTGGTCAATTTAATTGTACATAAATAATACTTCAATAAAGTGGATATTGACAAAATGCTTAAAGCCTCAGCAACAGGCTCTAATCTAGATTAGATTTATGTTGTAAGGGTATATATAAATATATCTATATATATCCTTTACTTCACATTTGCCTCCCTGGGTCATAAATTAAGAGAGCTTGAATTATGTAAATCCTTCAAAACCTCTGTTGCATTATATGCCCTGAAAATAACTGTCCCACATTACACTCCTGGCAGTCCCCACACCTCAACCACTTCACCTGAAAGAGGAGAGTCAGTTGCTTTTAGAAACAATGCAAAGCCCCAAGTTCATGGCTTAGCTTTCAACCACCGTAAAAACAAAACAAACAGAAAGCCCAAGAACATCGGTAATTTATGACAATAGGTGAGGCTTGCTGAACTTTCTCATTTCACTTAAAACCAAAAACACAAGTTGGTGTGAGTGTCATCTCTGTTCTTATAAGTTGTCTTTCCTCCAAGGTGGAGCATGTCACCATATAAGCAGGAAAAAAGAAGTTAAACAGGATGTGGCTGAGATGCTAAAATCAGGGAAAAGCCACACAAGAAAATCATTCCTCTGATTAATCTAAAGGCAATAAAATACATGATGACAATTTGAAAACCCCAGCTATTAGCTTCCTCAGGGCCCTGGTATTTTATCTGTCTTCACTCAGGGCCAAGACCTCATTTAAAGCAACTGTTCTCAAACTGTGGGCCCTGGACCACCAGCAGCATCACCATCACCTGGGAACCCACTGGAAATACAGATCCTCGGACAGCACCCCAGACTTACTGACTCAGCGACTCGGGGGGGGCGGCCACCAATCTACATTGAACAAATCCTCCAGATGACTGTGATATTCAAGGACGTTCCAAATCATTAATTTGAAGTTTGACAATCAATGTATACTTGTAAGTGGAGTCCCATCACATTCTCTCATTTAACTTGGAGCTGACCTTAGACCTCACCCTTTGGAATAAGATGGGATCCACGCTCAAGTACATGAGCTCTAGAGCTACTTGGTTAGTCTCACAAAAATGCCTCAAAAAAATTTTTTTTCAAAGAACAGAGCAGATATAGGAACACAGCAATTTTTTTTTTTAAGTTCTTTTTTTGGTACAACAGTTAATTCCCCCTGAGAGGGCTGCACCATTCCTGGAAGTACTACAATACCAGGTAGATGCGTGGAGTGGACGGAGCAGCTCCTATTCCAACTCCTAATTCCAAAAATCCATTTAATATAATGTCCTCGGATAGAGGACGTATCAGATATTAAACTGATAAGAACAGGTATCACACTTGGTCTTGGCCAAAAGGCCAAGAAGCAATGAAACACAGCATTTTTAGATTGCATTTCAGTATTTTTGAGCACCTGCCATGTGCCATGTTTGTGCTAAATGAAATTATCTTACTTAGCCTCCCCAGTCATGCATAAATCCATTCACAGGCCAGACTAGCATGCATTCAATGCCGAAGAACTTGTATATAAATGTTCACTTTGCTTCTTCTTTGGTTAACCGTCCTCAAACTTTACTGTGTATCACAGGTATAGTTTAAGGTTGCTTACACGAAACCATGTATACTATAGTAAGCCAACATAAGGAAATCTGAGGTAATGATGAATTACCCACGACGATGTCTGCTTAACTCCAAGGTTTTACCTTCTCACATGTTAAAAATCCAAGTCCAATAGATTTGGTCAGAAGCAAATCCATTACAATCATTTATTTTAGGCTCTGCTTCTCTCTAAAATAATGTTGTTCTGTCCTTTCCATTATGGACACCATTCTCCTTCATGTGGACAATAAAAACTTAAAGGAAAAAAAATTAAGTGATTCTAAACCTGCTTCCCAGGTTTAGATGTGGCAAGTGCCGATCCACCAGCCTCTACACACGGCACCCTCCCACAGACCTGAGAGTGTCCTCTAGATGTCAGAATCCTTCTCTATAGTATTTCAGGCAGCCACTCCCAACCAGTGGAAGGATTTATGGCCAATAAAACAGATTTATTTCACTGGCCAATCAAAGCATGCCCCTTTCTTACCTCTCTTCCTGCTTCAAATACAGCTTTTAATGCCCTCCTTTCATTGTTCCCAGAACAATACAATTAAGCTTCAGTTAATCCTAAACCACAGTCTACAAATCGAGGGCACCCTGAGGGTCGCAATCATGCTGGATTGTGCTGAGCAGTTTGAACAATTTGAATGCAGTTGTAACCCAGCACATGGCACCATGCTGCTCCAAAAATCAAAGAAGTAAGTAAATGACGGTCCTGAAGAGATCAGGAAACACCTGTGAGGCCGTATCCTCCACCCGTAACTGGGAAGTGTACGGGGGAGTAGCCCAGGGAGGTTAATGCATTGTAACAGGACTTAAAAGCATGAAAACATGGCTGGAGTAAATAATCCTGATTTTGCTTGTGGTACTCACTGATGATTCTTTATTCGGCTAATGGGGCACCACACTGCTCCTTCAGCAGCATCTCCATTATTCTAATTCCCTAGAGAGAGAAGAAAGAACCATCAGAACGCCACAGTTCGTGGACAAGCACTTTTACATTCATCGTGACCCTTTCCCTTCAAGGAATCCAGTCGGGGCCCTATTCTCATTTCAGAAAAGTAAGCTCATAGTCACACCTTATATTTCTACAATATTTTTCTCACCAAAGTCACATACATTTTCTCTACATGGGCTCAGAATTAATCAAGGGAAACGGGTACAGGGGTTTAGAATTTCCATTTTAAACTTAAGAAAACAGGCCAAGAGAAGGTAAGTCATTTCTTGAAAGCGGCCCGCTCAGTGGCACTGCCAGAGCTGAATCATAACAGCAATAACAAGTGTTTATCGAGCACTTACAAACGCGCTACACTGGCTGCCCAGGTTTTCGTGAGCATGGTCCTGGGCAGTGGGTGCAGGGTGCACCACGGAGATCCTCCAGCACCTGGGCACCCCTTCCCCATCTGCCAGCACTGGAGGCACAGCCACCCTCACCCAAAGGTGAGCTGCCTTACCTGAGGTCATCAACCCCTCTCCAGGGGCAGCCCACATCCAAGGACTGGTAGATACAGAGGTCTATAGGCCCTGGTCCCTTCCCTCAACTCCAGACAACTGGGAAGGACACCCCACGTCTGGAGGTCCTCATGGAATCAGGTGAAACCTTCACAGTAACATTACCCAGTTTAAAGCCCCTCCTGCCTGAAACCTGTTTCCCCCGCTCCCTCGCAAGGGCTGTTCCCAGAGGCTCTCTCCAGTCACCCTCTGCACCAAAGTCTCCATCTCTGAGTCTGTGTCCCCCAAGAGCCAGCCTGGGACACCTGGTTTGATACACACAAAGCCCCTGAACAAGTACTATTCTTACTCCCATTTTACAGATGAGGAAACAGTAACTCCAAGAGGTTTAAACAATGTCCCCCAAATCATGTATCTGTTGAGTAATAATGCAAGGAAAGAACAGAGCCATTCTATTCTGGCTTCAGAGGTTCCCTGACCCTTCTCACAAGCTCCCTCCATGACTGCACATCCCGACCTTCCATGCACCCACCTTGCCAGTCAAAATCTGCCCTGGAGGAAAGAGGAAAGCAGATATTCCCTCCTTCCTCGTTCAAGAACAAGTTCTGCAGACCAGGGCACAAACCTTCACAGAGAAAGACAACATGATGATATAATTATGAACGAGAGTTTTAAGGAAGTCAGGGCTGGATGTGGAGAGATCTGGTATCTGGGAATGGGAGACACCGTTCCCAGGGACTAGAAAGCAGTCTACAGGGAACAGGAATGATCTAAGCTAACCACAAACACAGATCCCAGGACTACACACAGGAAGACTTTGATTTAACAGGACTCAAGCAGGCCTCAGAGTTGTGCACCGTTAGCCAGCACCCAAGGGATTCCTGTGATCAGGCAGGTCTGGGAAACACTGAGGGAGCTTCAAGAGAAAGTCTGGGGCTTCCTACTAGGGGTTTATTCTCTGCCACAGCAAGCGGGTGAGCCTCTAGAAAAGACCATAAAATACATTTAGTGCTAAAGTACACCAAACAAAATGTAACATATCCTTGAGGTTTTAGATGCTCCTTCAGATTGTGGCTAGCCATCGCCACAATACTGTCCCATCCTACATGGAAGAAGTATCAGTTAAACAATTCTGACAGAATGCTGACCAGCACAGAGTCGGGGGACACTAAAGCTGCAAACTCTAAGACCAGGAGCACTGCTGTCAGAGTCACGAGACCCGGGTTCTGGTCTGCCAAGTTATTCTGGGGGTTTTTAGCTGAGTCATTCTTTACCAAGGAGTAACTAAGATTGGAGAGCAGAGAGGACAGCCAGGCCAGAGCGGTAGTGCAGCTGCACACCAGAACTGGGAGGGGAACCCACAGATGCACCTGCGGATCCCCACACCCTGCTGAGACCCACACCGTCAGCATTTCTAGGGCTGGGGCTTGGAACCTGCAGATTTGTAATATACCTCATGTGGCTCTGAAGCCAAACTGGCTCATTTACTAGAATCTGTGAATGGCAGCCTGACCCCACCTCAACGATCCCTCCCAGCCCTGCCAGTCTGAGAATACATTTTGGAAGATAACGGTACATGCTGCCCTCTGGTCCTCTTAGAGCTACTGTCCTTGCAAAGACTTAGGGGGTAAGGAGGAGAGTGGGGACGAAACCACCAGTGCAATGAAATTTAATCTAACTCTTTCCCTAAGATTTAACCGGTCATTTCTGCTCTCATTCACTCATTAACAGATTCACTCAATAAATACGATGCACCTACTGTGTGCACTAGAGATTAAAGGGTGAACAAACAAGACACGGCCCCTGCCCACATGGAGCTTACAATCTAGTAGTTTTCATTCCCCTTGTTTCCATCTGTTTGTTTCAACAAAACCTTGAACAATAATTGAATGCCTTCCTTCTATTTTCAGGAAAAATAAAAACGGCCACGTTGATTCCATTGCAACCATCTCTTTGCACAAATCTGGTGGTATGTCTTTAAAAACAGGAAAGCAAACTCCCTCCTTAGGAAGTGAGCACTGGTGAACTCTCCCTATCCATCCAAATTAAGAATGCCACCACTTACCGAGCTGAACACTAATTGACGTTAAGTGAAGACTTTGAGGTTTGCCTTGGGAATTGAAAGACATTATTTATTGAATCAATTATGTTCACAATGTGACAGTTGATTTTTCTTTCCCCTTTCCCCCCCTCTCTCATACCACTTTAGTCTTTTTAAGGAGAACAGTTAGAAATAGAAGGTGAAGAACAGGGGCAGAGAGAGAGAGACCTATCAAGTGAATTAAGAAAGAGAAAAAAACCTAACAGGGAGGCCAAAGCATTACTTAGTGCCTCTCTACAGTATGGAGGGACCAAATAAAGCCCAATCAATAGAGTCCTTTCAAATAAAGTTCCAACGCTTAAAACTCAACCCCTAGGAGATCAGCCTTAAAGAGGTTAATTTACACCACTTATCACACAATGATGCCTGAAATGCAGAGCAAACATTAAGTGAATCCACCTTTATAGATATGGCTTAAAAGCTTTTTGGACTGACAAACCATAAACCAGCTTGATTTTATGACTCCTTTCCCCTCTGAGATTTTTTTCTATTACAAGGCTATCTATCTTTCTCTATGTGCCAATGTACAGATAAGTGAGGCCTCTCGCGGGCTCATTTCCCTAATACAACACTGTGCCGGCCAAGCACATCCCCACAAAGGCGTCCCAGAGCCTCACGGATTGAAAACACTTCAGCGATCCCCCCCACGCTAACCGTCTCTGAGAAATAGCTGATTATTGTGGGAAACAAAAGGCCTGTCTGAAGGGGGAGCTGGAAAAAAATGGAACTACAGGCCGCTCGATCCAGACAGTGTAGTATTTATTCTCTTCTCCAATGGATGCTTCCTTAAGCCCTGACTGACCTAGGAGGTCCCACAGACAGTGATACCAGACCCTGTAAAAACTGCAAACTTTTAAAGCAGTTTTCAAAAGACACACCTATAGGACGCCTTTAAAACAAGAACTGCCCACTTAATTACCACAACGATAAAAGACCAGTGCAGAATTTGGCACACAAAAGGTACGTGATGTTGATGGATTACAAGGCTGATACACTGATTACTTTCCAATGCCAGGCTGAAAAGAGGCTGAATTTTAGCCTTACAGTTGTTGTCTGCCCAGTGGTTAGCATTCTTCAAAGGGCAGTGGAAAAGGCCAGGATAACAAGGGCGCTCCAGGGGATGAAAGAACAAAACAAGTTAAGAATAAAGAATGGAAATGGAGAAAAAAAGAAAAAGAAAAAAAAAGTGGGAACGAATGATGTGAAAAGAATTTGGCAGCAGAGATAGGACCTAAAACGGGTCCCAGAGAATCTGGATTAGCCATGAGCGGTTCACAAAGGGCAATAAATTCAAATGCTTAAATTCTCATTATAAAACCATTCACCCTTCGATAAAAACATTTACATCGGGGCACCTGGGAGGCTCAGTCAGTTAAGCAGGTTAAGCGTCTCCCTTCCGCTTGGGTCATGATGCTGAGGTGCTGGGATGGAGCCCTGCACTGGGCTCCCTGCTCAGTGGGAGTCTGCTTCTCCCTCTCCCTCAGCTCCTCCCTCCTGCTTGTGTACACTCTAATAAATAAAATCTTAAAAAAAAAAAAAAAAGAATTTACATCAAGGTGACCTCACTTCTTTTTGTTTTTTTTTTTTTCATTCAGTTGGTCTACACAAAAACTTTCTTTGCATCTTTTCATTTCCTCTGTGTAGAATAACAGTATGAATAAAAAAAGGATGAATATATGTCACTCCCTGCTTAAACCCTTCCAGAGTGTCCCATTGCTCTCATAATACATGCACACTCACTATCATGGCTCCGGGGATTTTCCCACACAGCTCAGGGCCCTTCACAGACACAGGCCAGCTTCCCATTCAGGCAACATGCGCAGCTCCTTTCTCTTCCACACGCTGCTCTCTCCAGCAGGAACATCCCCGAATCTACCAGTGGCCGGCTACCTCCTTGCCATACTGAGGTCTCAACTCATCGAGCACCTCTGCAGACACTCCCGACGGCCCTACCTGAAACAGCCTGGCCACAGCCTGGATCACACAGCTGCGCCCTACTCCTCTTTATAGCACTCGTCACCACAGGAAATGACTATGGTTTTTCAAATATTTTGTACTGTCAGCCATCCCCTGCCCCAACAGAAAGTAAGCTCCAGGAGACGGGAGAAACACTTGGCCAGGGGACATCATCCGTGGGGAAAAAGGGACAAATCCGCATCTAGTGTTCTCATTAAAGGTAACAGAAAATGGGGCGCCTGGGTGGCTCAGTGGGTTAAAGCCTCTGCCTTCAGCTCAGGTCATGATCTCAGGGTCCTGGGATCAAGCCCTGAATCGGGCTCTCTGCTTAGCAGGGAGCCTGCTTCCTCCTCTCTCTCTCTCTATCTCTCTCTCTCTCTCTCTCTGCCTGCCTCTCTGCCTACTTGTGATCTCTGTCTGTCAAATAAATAAAT